GTGGCAGATAAAGTGATAATTTCCCTTTTACAAATCCATATAAATTAATATTTTAGGAAATTAGAATTATTAAATTCCTAACAAAAATTTACCCCTATATATTTCAGATTTATAGTACCATTACTGAGATCCACCTTATGTATTGCAATGTAAAAGTTATTTGTATTTGTTCAATCATATGCTAACTTCTCTGTTATTAAAACAATTTAATACCTATTACACACACACCCTCTAGCTCTGTTTTAAGTGAAACTGAAGTCATATGCTAGAGAAAAAACTACAGCTGGTATGCAAAAAGAGGCTTTTGATTTACTTATATAACCTGTTCCTTCTTAGTTTCAACTGGTTCCTAAAGTATCGAAGGAAGATGTTAGAGGAGAAATTACCAGACCACTAAATGTGTAGAAAAATAACCAAGCTTTGGCCCGGCTCTTTCCACCCTGGCATTCTTCTATGAAGCTTTTTTCCTTAGAGGTCAGGGATAAGCTGACGTTCAATGTTATGCAACTCTCAAGTTAGCTCTAGCAAAAAGCTTTGGCTGTCCCTCTGAGCCAAAGTATTTGAGGCTCATTTGCTTCTAAAAGACACATTTGTTGAAGGACTACAGTGTGATGCAGCCTCTACTAGGTGCTAGAGGTTTGGAGAAATAAGTCAGAATCCTTACCTCAATGATCTCACAGTCTGAGATGGGCAGATATTCGAGCACTGACAATAACATGACATGACAGGAAAGATGCTAAAGCCCTGGGGGCTCATGGGTTCACTGAAAGGGTATACCAAAGTGAGTGGAGGAGGACTGAGAGTGTGTCAAGGAAGGTGCCTAGATCAAGTGCCACCTGAGCTGAGCCTTTAATTCACCAGCAGGAAAGAAGGGTGGTGTTCCAACATAGAGAGCAGGACATGCACGGGCATTCACAGCTGCTTTTTCCTGCCACTTATCCAGAAACCTACTTGCTTTAACCTTCCAATAAACAGCTTGCCTGGCCCTAAACCCCCAATACTCTTGAAAGGGGAAAGTGAAATTTTCCAATTTTAGAAAAAACATATGACTCTGTAAATACATTACATATTACTAGGGCCTCTCCCAAAGGTTAAGACAGGGCCAAGCAATGAGGAACCCTGTGCTGACAGTAAATCTGCTTCTGCTCAGAACGCAGCCATATCTAAGGCTAGTTCATCCTTAGAATTTCTCAGTTACACAAGCCTATATATTGCTTTTTTGGTCAGAATTAGTTTCTGTGGCTTGCAATGTAAAGAGTCTTGGCTAATACACAGCATGTC